AAACAGAGAACCGCGTGTGGCGAAGCAGAAGGGGGTGGGGGGGGGGGGAAATCCAGACCCTTGCGTTTAAAAGCTGGAAACTTCCAGAAGCTTCTAGGTCTCTATAGGCTTACGCGATGTCACCTGACTTAATCTCGCTCTCGTGGATCTTAGACTTTCCAGCGTGCACGGCTTGTGTCACTTTTTGCGCAAGGGTGGTGAATTCCAGCACAGCCCCCACAACGGCACCCCTAACACACAGCGGTGAGAGCAGCCGTCTCAGCCTAGTAAACATGGCCGGCCATCGTGTGTCACCGCGGATTTTGCGTATCGAAACGGACCCCCGGCATGATCCGAATGCCAAAGCCCCTCTCTGGATGAGCCGTTTCCTGGAGGCCGGCCCCCGTGTGCCTAAGCCGGACTCTCTGTGTTATCGCTCAGACCTCAGCGTGCTCTGCTGCTCCCCGAGATCAGAGACACAGAGGGATGATTGTGCTTCAGCCGTTGGCCCGCGTCTCCCAAACCGGACAGCTGCTGAGTTTCTACAGCCAGGGTGACCCCCCGCCCCCATTGCTCTCCATTTGATTGGGTCTGGGGGCTGGATTCCGTTCAATATCCTGAAATCGCCCCTAAAGTGTTTGGCATTTTAAAGATGGCCGCACCGAAGAGAGAAAGAATTGTGGAGCCAGTGGTGGTTTAATGGGTAGGGAAGCGCACTTGTAATTGAAAGATCGCAGGTTCGAATCCCCAACCAGCAAGGCACCACTGAGGTACCCTGAGCAAGGTACCGCCCCCAAGCCCTGCTCCCCGGGCGCTGAATTAGCTGCCCCCTGCTATGTCACGATGTCACATATGGGTTAAATGCAGAGGACACATTTCGTTGTTGTGTGCTGTGGAGTGTCAACATTGACCACTGATCACCAAGTTTCTCTGAAATCTGCCTCCCCTCTCCACGAGTAGCCAAAGGTCAGGTTCAGAAGCTGGTTTGTGATATCGGCGTCTGTCCTGAAGTTGATTTCTTTCTGTGGCCAATCATCCAGGGTCTGCCTAGACTAGGCCACGCCCACAGGAAAGGTCCAACCCAGGAAGAGGGCTACCCTGCTTTACACACATTCCAACCCACAGTACTAATGAGCGATAATTTCCCTTTCAGATGTTCCTGGAGCCAGCTACAGTATGCTCACCTTCCCAACTGCCACTTTAAATACAGTGTCAGTCTCACTGTAGATCTCACTGTAACTCACCCAGCTGTAGCGGATGTCTGTATCTTGTTTGTATGCACAGTGCACATGTGTCAGCTGATAACTGTAAAGCTTATGAGCCATTCTGGATCTGACCAATGAAAACCCAGGATAGATGTTTTATGGAGAGATTCTGTCCTCTGTCGGCCTTGAGGTCTGCCTCTATTGGCACCCGCTAAGGCCTGATCTTCATCGGGTGTAAGGGGGAGCGGGTCTGTGTAGTCAACCCATGAGTTCGGCTGTTGGCCCACGCACAGCGTCGGGTCATCCTTGGTCAAGACCTGATTCGTGGACCCAGGTCCATGTGACACCTCCCCCTCCCCGCCGAATCCACGCTTGACAACAGGACTGTGTCCCTGTCTGTTCGCTTGACATTCCTGAGTTTTGTCGCGTCTGTCTTTGGGTGCCCTGGTCACATGGTGAGCAGTGTTGGGGTTGGGGCCCAGGGGGGGCCACGTGTCCCTCCGGCGGGGGTCCCACGCACTTGTCATTCCGGGAACGCCCACAAGCAGAGGGTGGTGCTGCATCCACACCCGCTCTTCCTTATCTGGGCGAAATTCCTGTATCCTCTCGCATCCTATGATGGAAGAAAGCAGCTTTTAAATTCAGGCGTGTGAGGTTTAAATGGCAGCCCTGTTAATCTGACCCTTCAGTCGGCGAATGGTGATGTGCGGTTTTTTTCCTTTGGTAATTCGTCGACGTGTTTTAAGCTGTCGCTGCAATGGAGAAGCTCACACACCCTTCATGACAGTGCAGCAGGACTAACCCAGATGTGGGAGGGCTTTTTTATTTTTTTTTTACCCCTCCTGTGTGAAATCACAGCAAGGCACAGGGGGACGCTCGCTTCAAAGGGGCTTTTCTGTCCGTATTAAGCAGCATGACACCTGTGTGTGTGTGTGGGGGGGGGGAGGAGTCAATGTTTAAACGTGTGATATTATTGGGTGTCAGCTGGTCTGCTTATTTATACGGGTCGGCAAATTTTTTTGATAATTACTGTCATACATCATTTCGGTTTTAGGATATCCTGATTATCCGATTATTTATTTTCAGCCAAGGTACTTAATTTTTCAGCCCACTTTTTAAGGATTTCATTTGCGGTTTTTTTTTCGTCCTATAAGAACAGTGATGATGGTGATGAGGATGGTGATGAAGACAGTGATGATGATGACGGTGGTGATGAGGATGAGGACTTTAATACAAACAGTGCTCTGTACCATGAGCACATTCACTTTTGTTGCCTTCATCCTCGGCCCAGATCTACATTCATTGTCTGGTATAACGGGAGGTTGTTTTCACAGTCCAGACCACACTCTCCATTGGGAGCTCCATTCCACACTGTTAGGTCTCTCCCAAAATTCACTGGACTGCACTTTTTCCCAGTCACCCAGTTTCACGGGGGCCAGGTGTCCTGGCTTACTTAAGCAAAGGTGATGGATTTCACAGGACGCAGCTGTTAGACTTTTCTGTAGATCTGATTCCAGCAGGGGGCGTAGTGTATAAGGTGTCAGATGTGGGAGGGGCCCCACTGTCCTACACTGGAGCAGGACGTGCATTTTCTTTTCAGGGATAATGGAAAGGGGCTTTCAGCATGCGCAGAGATTTTAATGGCAGATAAACGTCCCACATTAATTGGCTTGCTTGCATCAGAAAGGCTATGTAGAGCACTTGACAGACTTCCTAAAAAAAGATGAGGTGACCTAGGAAACTAATTAGCTGCTTAGATAAGACAAAACCTCCCGTACTGGCTGAGTCACAGAGGGGCCACCTCCATCATTTTCAGGGATGTTTTCGTGGGATGTTTGCCACCACATCCTCTGTCCTGTGTCAGTGACATTATTGCTTGTTTGCCACGTATCAGCAAAGATTACAGGATGGAGTGGCGATGAAGCCCGGAGAGGTATCACCCAGAAAACGGGTTTGCGGGGAGGTCGTGATACAGCGGCGAACGTGCAGGTGGGACCCCGAGCGAGGCTGAGAGTTAGCGGCGCCCTCTATGGGCCTGCCAGGGGAGTGCAGGAGAGAGAGGAGGTCTGGCAGCCAGCGTTTAAAGTGCAGCACGTCACCCACGTATCCTGCCTGCATTCTTGTTCCTTCCTGCTAGTAGAACAAAACCCTCGAACCCTCGACTGGAGTTCCTGCATCCATTCTCAGCTAAATTTCACGTCCTGTTTCGGAGTGGGGCACTTCCCTGCTGGGCTGTGGCCGAGCGCCCCCCATCCGGGACGCCCCGGGATTCCCGGCTGCACTCGCGGCCCTGACCTTGCAGAACGTGTAGGAAGTGGAAGGTGGGGGGGGGGGGCGCCTGCTCCCCTCCCCTCCCCTCCGACGCTGGGGTTTTGTGGTGATGTCATTGTTTGTTTTGTAGGGGCTTTGAGCATCAGCGCTGCGGGGTGTCGAATCAGCCCCGGGAAATTCACCGCGGTGAAACACGGAGCGTACAGTCATTTAGCCTGACAGCCTCTGCGCCAGCCTCAGGCTAACCCTAAATATAGAAGAGTCTGCGCTCAAAACACACTTTGGCTTTATATTCCCTCTATTTTACGAGCATGTTGTGGTTTCTTACAGGAAAATTAAAAAATAGAAAGTGTAAATATCATCAGGTGTTTCATATTTAGAATGATAATAACTGAATGCTGGGCTTTGTGGCGGCTTTGTGCGGATTTCGCTTTGTGCAGATTTTCCCTTTGCTCGTCTGGGTTTTCCCTAGATAGTCCAGCTACCAGGCAAACTGCCATGTCTGAATTGCTTGTAGTGTGTGATTATGCCCTGCGATGGACTGGCATCCCGTCCAGGGTGTCCCCGTGCCCTGTGTCCTGCGATGGACTGGCATCCCGTCCAGGGTGTCCCCCTGCCCTGTGTCCTGCGATGGACTGGCATCCCGTCCAGGGTGTCCCCCTGCCCTGTGCCCTGCGATGGACTGGCATCCCGTCCAGGGTGTCCCCCTGCCCTGTGCCCTGCGATGGACTGGCATCCCGTGTCTGTGTTTATAGACACATACATGTGCATGTATGCGGTTTATATGCACATTGTGTGCGTGTGTATTGGCGTGTATGTGGCTTGGTGCTGATGGCACAGGGCACTGAGAAATGGCTGGAAATGCTCCCTTTCAGTCTGACCGTGGCCAGGGATGAAGTTCCTTAAGTCCCAGACAGACCGACCCCCACTAGGCTCTTCTTGTTGTGATTTGAGGACACCCCCTGAGAGGAACACTAATCCCAGTGGGGGGGGGGGGGGTTAGTGATGTCTTCCCTGGGCATTTGTGCTCACTTTCCAGAATGTTCACCAAATTTGAGCTCAGTTCATACCCTGACCCCTCAGTATTATGTAACGTAATATGTGCTGCAGTGATTGTAGGCCTAGGGCACCGCTAACCGCTAACATGGGGGCCGTAGCTGCCATATTGGCGCCATGGGCTTTGGGGTGGCTTCTGGCAAGCTTCTCTCTGTACCTTCACAGGGAGCCGATCTGAGAGTCGCAGTAAGCGGCGCCGATCGTTATTCTGAGGCCTGCGTCCTCTCTCTGTATCCTCAAAGCCCTGAGGCATAGCAGGGCCTCTTTGCAGTTTCTGAGGGGCCGTGGGCGAGTCAGAGTTTCCCCCTGACTCTATGTTGTGGTCACTTCACTTGTTTCTTAAATGTTGTTACAGTACAATTGTAATTTTCAGGGGGGGGGGGGCAAAGGAAAGCTCTGCACTAGGAGAGTGCTGACTCAGTTCGGAGGGGCGGGGCAGCCCCCCCCTGTCTGCTCCTCCTAATGTCTCGCTCTCTCCGTGGCCCACAGTGTCGAACTATGGCAACGTGGCAGAGGCTGCCTCAGACTCGGACGACGAGGACAAGCTACACATCGTGGAGGAGGACAGCTTACCGGACGCCGGTGACGGGGACAGCAGCCCCCCTGAGGACGAGTTGGCACATAATGGCGCCGCAGAGCACGAGGAGGTCTGGGAGGAAGGTGGGTGCACCGTGGCCACGCCTCCTCAGGCCAAACAGGAAGTCCTGATCAGTCAGACAGGAAGTCGTAATGGTCCGCAGCCTCCATCATGCGCGGTCAAATCTGTTGGGCACAGATATTGCTGGGGGTCCAGAGGGAAGGTTCTTATCGGTCAGGGAGGTGAATGAGAGGCTAATCAGGTTTAGCCTGTGGGCTAATTATTTCTGCATAGAAACACGAACACTGCTGTCTGAATGACGTCACTCAGCGACTGGGATGAGGGAACGGGGGAGGTCAAAAGTCAGGGTCCCGCACAGCAGTGCATGTTCCCATTCCTGACACTAATACAAGCTTTGGGAACAGCAGATGTGACTCTACTGTTGGGTTTTTTGCCAGCAGTTAACAAAAAGATTTGTACAGCCTGATGGACTCTGCAATCTGAGGAGGCTTAAGTGATCAATCTGTCGTCATTCCTGAGCACGGACAGTGGGATTAACAGTATCTGAGTCCATAACTCAACACTCCGATCAGATCTTTGTCAAGGAGCTGGTCTTCGGAATAATAAAGTAATCATCACATCATTAGCGATGTAATTATGCAATCTGCCTCCTTAACGAGAAACAATTATGTCATTTGTGCCCCCGAATTTGGAAACAATTTTTCACTGGGCAGCTGCTCAATGGGGTGATTAATACCGGCAGACAGGCAGCGTGTTTGAGCCCGAGACGGGAGAACCCCAATCAAAGGCCTGTGGATGACACCTGCATCGCAGACGAGCGTTTGGGGAAGGACAGGAGGACGAGCCTCTCTCTGAACCTCGGGGGCGTGGCCTCCTCACAGACCAGCGGCTGATCCGTCGAACGACAGAAGGCAGGGGAGGTGAAAGTGTCCTCCTGCTCCGTATGAACCTCCCACTTCAGCCTGTGGGGCACGGTGGGGTAGCAGTAGGGAGAGTTTGACCTTTTTACCTGCCTTAGAAGCGACAGCTGTCAGATCCTGGCAAACGGGGCAGCTGGCGGCCTGGGGGCGGGACTTCAGCAGCCTAAGCGGGTGCCTGCTATGAGGACGGTGTATGTAGGTTTGAACCCCTGAGGGATAAAAGGAGGGTAGGAGTCACTGCCCTGTGCCCTGTGATAGACTGGCATCCTATCCAGGGTGTCCCCCTGCCCTGTGCCCTGTGATGGACTGGCATCCCATCCAGGGTGTCCCCCTGCCCTGTGCCCTGTGATGGACTGGCATCCCATCCAGGGTGTCCGCCTGCCCTGTGCCCTGTGATGGACTGGCATCCTATCCAGGGTGTCCCCCTGCCCTGTGATAGACTGGCATCCTATCCAGGGTGTCCCCCTGCCCTGTGCCCTGTGATAGACTGGCATCCCATCCAGAGTGTCCCCCTGCCCTGTGCCCTGTGATGGACTGGCATCCCATCCAGGGTGTCCCCCTGCCCTGTGATAGACTGGCATCCTATCCAGGGTGTCCCCCTGCCCTGTGCCCTGTGATAGACTGGCATCCCATCCAGGGTGTCCCCCTGCCCTGTGCCCTGTGATAGACTGGCATCCTATCCAGGGTGTCCCCCTGNTCCAGGGTGTCCCCCTGCCCTGTGCCCTGTGATAGACTGGCATCCCATCCAGGGTGTCCCCCTGCCCTGTGCCCTGTGATGGACTGGCATCCCGTCCAGGGTGTCCCCCTGCCCTGTGCCCTGTGATGGACTGGCATCCCGTCCAGGGTGTCCCCCTGCCCTGTGCCCTGTGATGGACTGGCATCCTATCCATGTTGTCCCCCTGCCCTGTGCCCTGTGATAGACTGGCATCCCATCCAGGGTGTCCCGCTGCCCTGTGCCCAGTGATAGACTGGCATCCCATCCAGGGTGTCCCCCTGCCCTGTGCCCTGTGATAGGCTGGCATTCTGAAGCTTCTGGGCCTCGTTCTGAGTGGAGACCCTTTAGTGACCTCTGTCCCAGTGCCATTTGCTCATGCGGATCTCACAGGGGACTCTGTCCTACTGCCCAAGGGGCCGGCTGAGGTCCTTCCGGTCAGTAGAGGGTAAACAGCGCCCCCGGTGGTTGTTGGTGCCTGCATGCCCCCTCATCTGGCAAGGTCCTTCCTGGCCTGTGATCTTCCACAAACCCCTGAAGGCTGTGTCAGGTGGCTGCGGATGCTGCATGTTACATCAGCTTCTTCAGGAGACACCTCAGTTCTCAGGAATATGGACTTTTATGATGCAGACCATCTTTGGGCTGAATCATTCCTGATTCCGATCAGACGCTGCCATGTGTCCTTACCAGCGTCTGCTAAGTTGTTCCTTGTCCTTTCACCTCATTAAAATGTCAGACGTATCAATGGTGTTTTGGCACTGTTACGGACATGTGCAGAATGAGCAAACAGAATCCGTGACGCCGTGCTGCATTTGTTCAGATTTGTATTATAACTCACTCGCCAGATTTGGCTGAGCCGCAGCCGCTCGCAGGACAGTGCGACGACAGCGCCCTCCTGAAAGGCCGTACGTCTTTGAATCTGAGGCGGCGTAAATTATCGGCCCGTCCTCATTACCCAGCAGTGCAGACAGGAGGGTTCACAGTATCAGAGTCCATAATTAAGATCAGAACTTTGAGACGGCACTGATTTTCGGAATAATCAAACGGCCGTCACATCGTTACCTGACTAATTACACGGTCTACCCCTTTAACAAGAAGCGGTTACATCCTTTGTGCTACTGACTGCAAATACATTTTCACTGGGTAGATGTTCAAAGGAGTGAATAATGCAGAGACACACAGCTTAAGACTGAATGGAATCAAGAACACGGTGGATTTGCCTTTTACCAGAGTTTAAAATATGCAGGTTTTTACTAACACCCCTTATCCAAGGTGTATTTTCCTGAAATAATCCTGCATGAGTCACAATAACACAAATCGCATAGTTTTGTTGTTTTCATATCGTGTTGAAAACAGGCTAAACGAGCGGCTTCCCTGCATCCATACTAGTCGTTTAGCTTGATCTTCTCTCTTGGTTTCCACAGAAACTCTGGTCCTGAAGCCCAAGCTGGGATACAAAGGTGAGTCTGGCTCCGTTCGCTGCCACAGATACTGAGATGCTTCCCCCTGTCTGCGTTTTCATGGCTGCATTTGGTTTGTTTGTAAAACTCGTTGTTGGTGATTGATGCGTTATAGACGGCGGAGTGTTAATAGAGTCCTGACATAGCAACGATTCGGCCGTTAGACCCTGAGCTGAGATCATTCAGGCCACCTCAGGTCCTCGCTGCAAGCCCCCGTCGGGTATTTGCAGGGCCGTGAGTGTCTAATGGTGGTGGGGGCAGCGGTGGCCGTGGGGTGCATGGTACAGGAAGCACCTGACAAAGACCATCCATCACGCGTGTCAGGGACGGTCAGCTCCCATTAGTCAGGCCCCGTGTGACCGGGAGGGTCTGTGGATGAGCATTGGCTTGCTGTTCACGGCCTAACTCTCACATCCGTCACTGTCTGATGCAAGAGGCAGCACCTGTAGGCCCAAAGCTCACTGACATCCGGCCAATGAGAGAACAGCGGCGGTACCTGTAGGCCCAAAGCTCACTGACATCCGGCCAATGAGAGCACAGCGGCGGTACCTGTAGCTCGCTGATATCCGGCTGAGACGGAGGAGGTGACCGTCTCATTACTGGTTCTGCCCAGTCCTGTTTAAAACAAACACGCTTCCATTTCAAATGGAGCTGCCACCCTCAGATTTTCCTGAAATAATGCTTTGGAGAAGCTTTGTATGTGTACTCTTAAATTCTTTGATCACGTGACTCGTGCAAAGTGAGCATGAAGGCCTGCCCCTACCTGTGCTCGGAGTGCTTGCAGCAGATGGGCCTGGGGGGGGCGTGCAGCGTGAGCGTGTGTCACACGGCACTTGACTTGCCGGTCTTGAGCGCCTGATCGGGGGCCAGCCCCCGGTGCTGGCAGCCCGTTTCCATGGCAGCAGCTGAAAAAGTTACATTGGGGACCCCGGGTCTGGGGGGGTGGTCGTCGCCGGAGGGTGGGGGCTGAAATGACAGCGATGTGGGCAGCCAAGGGAAATGGTATGTCGAGTGATGACATCATTTGTGACCTAACACACACGTGAGGGGCCTCACAGTAATTACCTGTTCAAGGGACGCCTTAACCCAAAGCAGATGGTGAAAGGCGTTGACTAGTCCTTCGAAGGCTTATGTCATGTTGAAACCTTCAAGACCTGCGCATGCTGGTCGATTAGTCACATTGGCGCAAAATCGGTTTCCATGGCTAATTTCCTCAAAACAGAGCGAGCTGCAAGCGGTTTGTAATTATTACAATCAGATCGATTAACTGCGCTCACTGTTTATAACCTGTGTCTGGAGCCGTCCCTCTCAGCGGTACTTCGCCAAGCGGAGCGCGGAGCGTGGAGATGGCCGCTTTTCAGCACCCGGTGAGGCACAGGAGAATAGCGGCACCAATTTGTTAGAGAAAAAAGGGAAGAGAAAGGCATCTTACTGACCGAGGGAGAGAGTCTCGTATGAGGTCATGGGAAGACAGGCTGCAGTGCATCATGGGTAGAAAGGCACTTGAGTCTGCTTTCCCCCCTGTTTGTAAGGGTGAAAGGGCTCCCTCAATCCGATTCGTCAGCCACCACCTGGCCCCTCTCAGAACTGCTTTGGTGTGTGTGTGTGTGTGTGGGGGGGGGGGGGGGCGTTCAGTTCCCATGGCAACAGCCGCAAAGCAACGGCCTCCACCGGCACTGCAGCTGAATCAAGCAGTGGTCCTGAGCGTGAGGGACGTGTGGCAGGGTGGTGCGCAACGTTACGGCCGCTCTGTGACGTGGGGGCGGCTGGGAACAGTGTCATTCAGGGGAGGCACAAAAGTGGCTTTCACTGCACCAGCCACAGAGCCACAGAGCCACAGACCAACGGAAAAAGCCGTCTTTTATGCACACCCCCTGAGAATCTTTCAGGGAGTCACAGAGTAATTAGAGCAAAATCAGTTCTGTTTGTTAGATTTTAACATCTCTCCCTTCCCCGAATGGATCAGTCACAATAACATCACAAATAAGCACTGTACATATCATACATTCAGTCCCAGTATCACCAGTAGACTCAGAGCAATTACTGCTATACACATTTTCTAAATGCACCATTGCAAACACGGAATAATCAGAATCATCCACAAAGAAATGTAAATACACACATAAAATAAAAATGTTAATTTGACCTTAAGAAGCAGTTCTTTGTAGTGGCGCCTAACATATTTCTTTCGACACCGGAAAGAGGAGAAGAGTATTTATTCGAAAGTAATGGGATCATGTGCGGGCACTCACCTGACTTCGGGGTGAAGGGTCTGCTGCAGAAAGCACGGGTTCGAGGGGAGCCTGGCCTCAGATTACTTGTCTCTGGAAAGGCGCCTTAATTGGCCCTCATTAGTGCACACAGATCTCATTAATGCCATGAGGGATTGCACATGTTGTGCAGATGCTGCAGGCATCTGCCGCTTCCCAGACAGACACCGGCAATCTCTGCGTTTCTGGCCTGCTATTTTTCCCACAAGAAAAAGCTTTGTTTTTAGAGCATGAGACTCGGTGATTTATATCCCACTGAGTCAGTCGGGTCGAACAGCCCAGGGACAGCGGGGCTCTGGAAAATGCAGCAATATGTTCACCTGCGATTCATTGCGATCTTTTCCTGATGTTCACGCTCCTTCCAGGCGCATCTCCTGACAGCTGCATTGTTCCCCCAAGTCACAGTGATTCCCCTAAGAGCCAAAATCATCACAGGTTTCCCTAAGTAGTCAGAGGCCGTTTCTGTCCTCGCTGTGTGACCCGCGTCACGTGACGGGATGCCGGCAGCACAGCATAGTCACATGTACATATCGCCATAGATATGGTACCAGTCAAAAGTCTGGACACGCTAAGCTGCCTATGAAGGAGATTGATAGTGCGACCTGGCCGCCTGATCTAGACACAGTAGAAATAGTTTTGGAGGAGTTAGACCAGAGAGTGAAGGAAAAGCGGCCAGTGTTTGCTCAGCATGTGTGGGAGCTACTTCAGGACGGCTGGAAGAGCATCCCAGGAGGCTCCTCATGGACCTGGCATGGAGGACACAGTAGGGTCAGCCTGTCCCTGGGGCAGCTGGGGTTAAGGGCCTTGTTCAGGGGCCCAATGGTGGCCTGCCGACCATGGGATTTGAACCGGCAACCTTCTGAGTGCCAACCTACAATAGTACAAATGAACCAATCAAAGGGAAGGTGTCCAAACTTTTGACTGGCACTGTATATGATTTATAAGGCTGACATACACAGACGAGCATTATCTCACGGACGGCGCTGCATTCTGATTGGTCAGCGGAGGTAAAGCAGTATAGTGACCCCTTGGGAGATGCATCAGTCTCTCAGGAGGATGTTCGCTGTCTTGTTCGCTTCAAATGGAAGCTGCAGGGGCCAGTAGGCTTGGGAATTCGAATGGAAACTTCTAGGCATCGCAGAAATAGATAGATAAATATAAACAGCGAGGCAGGCGGCGGATGTCCGGCGGCTCCTAATCTCCGTGTGCGATAAGCTGCGCTGCTGAAAAGGGGAGCTTCTCCGTTGCATGAGTTTGCTGATTTTATGCTTGTATATTTAGATCCCCTATGTGTATATAATACATTAGCCACAAAAAGCTCTTATATTTAAGAAAGTCACAACCTTATTGCTTTTGTCTGATGTTTGAACTTGCTTTACTGAAGGAAATAGTCCCTGATGTAATATGACAAGCAGTCCACGTCTGCGTTCCAGTGAAGGACGAGTGTGGTTCGGATGGGGAGGAGGAAGGCAGCACGGACGCCATGGTGGAGGAGATGCTACAGCAGGGCGACACGGCCGTCATCTATCCCGAGGCCCCCGAGGACGAGCCCAGACAGAACACGCCAGAGGCCAGCGGGCATGACGAGAACGGTAATCCGCAACGTCCGGGGCTGCAGTAAGGTCTTCCAGCCACCAGGGGGCGAATGTAATCGTTTTCAAGACACATTTGCATGGGGTGTTTTTGTGAAGGTGTGTAAAAGAGAAGGAAAGTACCCATATTTTTACATGCAGTTTTAGACAAGAATACTTACTCACAGGAAGCTTGCCAACTGTTAAAATTACCCATTTGATTTTCCCTGCTGCCGTCAAGTGAAGTTATTGTTACACACCTGGTTTCATCAATTACCTCATTTTGTGCTTTTGTTTTTTTTTCGGTAATGAGGAACAAATCTACCTGAATCGAGTTTTTCAAGTGGATATTTAAAAGAAAAGACATCATTGCTTCTGCCTGGAAATTTCTATACTCGTTTTTTCCAGGAATGTTAGCCATTGCATCAGTGTAGTTCAAGGCTACCTGCCAGAAGGGTGTGAGAATATATGCCACAAGGGTATGCTTGTATACATCATTTGAAATCCTTTCACATTCTCAGCAAAGCTTCAAGGTCTTTACACATCTGTCAGTTTTGCTGTCCTCACTCGCCCCGAGAGGTAATAATGATCCACGTTGGGAATGGGGGGGGGGTACGTTCTGCGCTCTGATTGGCCGTGACTCCGGCAGGTACCCCGGATGCTTTCTCTCAGCTACTGACGTGCCCCTACTGCTCCCGGGGCTACAAGCGCTACACGTCCCTGAAGGAGCACATCAAGTACCGGCACGAGAAGAGCGAGGACAACTTCAGCTGCTCCCTCTGTAGCTACACCTTCGCCTACCGCACGCAGCTGGACCGGCACATGACGGCCCACAAGTCCGGCCGGGAGCAGGTACAGAACCGCGTCCAGGCCCAGGTCTGCTCCCGCAGTGGGAACCTGTTCCTCTCAACCATCACTCACACAGCAGACACTAGTAACTAGAAACTAACATGAATCAATTTGCCCAAAAACGGAGCTTAATTTCTAATTCTCTGCTGAAATTCAGAAGCTGTACATTTGGCAATTTAATTCGTTCGGTAAGTTTAGAATGTTTACAAAACGCTGATTATGTTGATGATAGATAGACTCAGTGGCTGTTTTATCAGGTATACCTAGCTAGTGCTGGGCTGAGCCCACTTTTGCCTCCTGAACCACTTGAAGGGTAGACGAGTTTAGTGTTCAGAGGACTTCTGTCATTTCTTCATTTCTGGTCTTCCTGTTAGCTTTCACAGGTCTGCCCATTCCCCTCTCACCTCTTTCATTAACAAGACGTTTTTTGGCACCGGAACTGCAGTTAACTGGATGCTTTGTTGTTCGTCGTGCGGCCCTGTGCGAACCTCCAAAGCTGCAGTGCATGAAAACCGCCAGCCCGTTTCCCAGCCACTGGATTCACTGCGTCTGGCAGCAGCAAACGCACCGCAATCGAAATGGCTTAGATCAGGCATCTTAGCCATTCCAGTGCTTAGCCAAACAGTAACTGAACCTCCTGACCCTGTGTGCGGCATATATATTAAGCTGCAGTCACAGTTGCCATTTAGAGTAGCAGGCTGTTCGCATTAACGAGCAGGTGTACCTAATATATTGGACGCCGAGGGTATTTGTTTATGCTGTAGTGACAGCAGAATTTTAACAGAATTTTTTTTTTATTGTTATTTTAAATATTTGCATAGCAATTAAATTTGCCACAATATCCACAAATGCAAGTGGAAGATATTGGTAAGATGGTGCAGACATATCAGTGATTTAGTTACTTACTTAGAAACATACAGAAGAAGAGCCTATCAGAATGGTGTGTATGTGTCTCCCTGGTTACGCAGCGTCACGTGACTCAGTCCGGGGCCAATCGGAAATTCAAGTGCACTGAATGTGCGAAAGCCTTCAAGTACAAGCATCACCTGAAGGAGCATCTGCGCATCCACAGCGGTGGGTACAGCCCTGTCACCATGGCGACACATATTTATATATGAAGTCCCAGGATTTCACCGTTAAAGGCTTTGCTCTTAGATGTGTGCGTGATCTCGAATATCGCGCAGTCACTGCGACTGTTACTGCAGAGGTGGCTGGTGCTCCCCGCACTCAGCCTTTGCGTGTCCCGAGGTAACCGGAACGTTCTGTGTTTCCAGGCGAAAAGCCATATGAATGTTCCAACTGCAAGAAGCGATTCTCCCACTCCGGCTCCTACAGCTCCCACATCAGCAGCAAGAAGTGCATCGGCCTTCTCCCCCTGAATGGGAGGCCTCGCCCAGTGGGCGTCGCCCCTCCGTGCTCCTCCCCAGCCCCAACCTCCCTGCCTTCCGGGCCCGGACGTGTGCAGCTCCGCGAGAAGGTTGACAATGGCAGGCCCCCGCAGGAACCCCAGATCAAGGCCGAGCCCACGGATTGCGAGTATAAGCCCCTGGTGGTGGCCTCCAGCATCAACGGTGTCTTCAACGGCCCCACGTTCCAAGCCACCGTGGCCCCTCCCCAGGGTCTGGTGCAGGCCGTGGTGCTGCCCACCGTCGGCCTGGTCTCGCCCATCAGCATCAATCTGAGCGATATCCAGAACGTCCTGAAGGTGGCCGTGGATGGCAGCGTGCTGCGGCAGGTCCTGGAGAGCGCCCAGGCCAACTCCTCAGCCAAAGAGCCCGGCGTCACGGCCGCACACGTCCCCCTGCAGCCGGCCGGCCACTCCGTCATCTCGGCCATCAGCCTGCCCATCGTGGAGCCAGACGGCACCACCAAGATCATCATCAACTACAACCTGGAGCCCAGCCAGGTGCAGCAGGTCGTCCCCATGCCCAAGGAGGAGGCCCCCAAGAACCCAGACGTTTGCAAAGCCGAGAAGCTCCCGGAAGACCTCACTGTGAAGCCGAGCCAGAGTGAGAAGACAGAGACGGAGAAGATCGGGTCGGAGGCGGCGGTGGCACCGACTGGCAGCACCTGCCTCTTGTGTGACGACTGTCCTGGTGGCCTGGCCGCCCTGAACAAGCTGAACCACTGTAAAGCCTCGGCTGGTGGCTCGACAGCTGAGGCAGCAGAAGCGGAGGGCACCGACGCCCGCATCGCGGCGCTCCTGTCCGACAGGGACCCCTCGCCCGGCCAGCCCCCCCTCAATAACCTCCTGTCGCTGCTCAAGGCGTATTTCGCCTTAAACGCAGAGCCCACGCAGGATGAGCTCACCAAGATCTCGGACTCAGTCAGCCTACCGGCGGACGTGGTCAAGAAGTGGTTTGAGAAGATGCGGTTGGGTCAGGAGTCGGCGGGAGGGTCCGGGCCCCCCGGCCCTGCTCCGGAGCCCCCACCGTCCGAGAGCCACGGCACTGAGACCGAATCGCCGGGCCTGGCTGAGCGACAGGCTGAAGAGGGCAAGGCGGCCGCCTGCACCAAACCTCAGACCACGCCCGGCGAACCCAGCGACGCAGACGTCGAGGAGTCGCCACCATCACCACTAAATCTGTCCTCCACTGGGCCTGTCATTGTCAAATCCGAGGGGGACTCGGAGGGCGGGGCGCAGGCGGAGCCCCTCGACCTATCACTACCAAAGCTCTCGCGGGAAGCAGCGGAGGGTGCCGCCGGCAGCGTTTACCACAGCAGCGTTTACTCTGTTCAGGAGGAGCCCTTGAACTTGACTTGCACAAAGAAAGAGCAGCCACAGACTGACACTATTTACGTTAGCCCACAAAGTGCCAATCCCATCAACATCGTCGCCACGCAGCTGCCCACCATCGTGGCCATCGCCGAGCAGGGGAGTGTGCCCTGCCTGCGGGCACTGACCACCAGCAAGACCATCCTGATCCCACAGCTGACCTACACCTACACCACTTCAGGGACAAATCCTACAGGGACCGAGATTCAGCTGAGGACACCGCAGCCTAGTGGCAACCAGGTTGGTGGCACGTGCCGTCACACATGCTGTCACACGCCGTCACACGTGCCGTCACACGTGCCGTCACATGCCGTCACATGCCGTCACACATGGCGTGCGTGGGGAGCTTAACAATCACTTGGTAAATTATTAGGTGGATTTAATTCCTTTTCTATTGTTGTCAAACATCTTGCAGATCCCGTTTACTCATCTTACAACTGCTCACACGATGCAGATAACTCATTAAGTGTGAAGGCAAGCGTAGCAAGATGACGGTTGATATGACCGAAAATTACATGTAATTTAATGTCATTGAAAGTTCATGTATATCTTTTCAATATTTGCGGTCAGTCTGTAGCTTCGTAGCTCATGATGATTTGTCACCGCAGAGATATGCAGCTTCTTAGCCCAAACATTGAAGGGGCTACCTAAACAGATAAACGGATGACTTCATAGGAGAGGATGCACAGCAAACACTCAGTACTTTATCCTTTTTGTTTACTTTGAAGAATATTTTTTGCGAACGCGGGTTTGTCTTTTGGTAGTTCACAAATCCATTGGGATTGCAGATGTTTAAAGTCCAGAGCGGGTTCCAGTGTGGTGTGGACTGATTTGTGTGGTATGCTCCAGGTGGTTTACTGCAATGGGTGGAAGGGTGTCATGTTTTACAACCAAAGTCCAGTCTGAAGGGCGTAATATCTCCCGTGTGACTCTTCCATGGAAATGCAGAGGTTTTCGACCAGATGTTTGGGCCGGGTCCCACCCGCAGTCATGCAATGCAGTTAAGCCCTCCGTTTAGTGCTGTGAAGTTTCTGCATTGGAGCCTGAGCAGAACGTAGCCCATGTGGAGATATAAGCTGCTTCAGCTACCATACATTTGATACTAAAAAGTCAGTACTTTACCTTTTCCATAGACTTCCGATCCAGTACCAGTACCAAAATCACCAGTACCAAACCAGTTAGAGTACTTTTTTTGGTACTTCGGTACATTGGGGTGGGAGACTTACAAACATGTTTATGCACGTTATGCAAATAGCCTGGCTCTCTCAAAGCAACAGCCGTCTCGAAAACGGTTAAGAACCCAGGAACACCCAAACGTTAATTGTTATTCGGTCAGAAAACAGAGTAAAAATGTTTTGGTGAAAGTTAGCCCCCCTCTCCTCGACTGTCACTATCACGGTTCCTGCAACGCAAGAATCGGACGTGCATAACATGAGATGTTGGTATTAAAATCGCACATCATCCAGTAATATACTACAGCCATTATCCAAATTCAGTACCCCGCCTAGTATTGCGATAATGTCTTTCAGTGCTGCTACAATCCACCACAAAGTAGTACAGCCTTTTGGTACTTTTGGTACTTTTTTGAAGTATGCAAAGTACGGTACCTGGTGCGGTGGAAAAGTGCCGATAGAGGGCTGTTCAGGTGCCAGTGTTAAGTGGCCAGTGTTGTGGGGAGGGGGTCTCCTCCCATTTCCCTGTCACTCGCCAGACTGTGTCCCTTTTCCCAGTGGGAGTTAGTGGCCAAGCTCTGTATCAGGTTCACAGGGTGAGATTTGAAGCCAAGTGTGATGTCTCTTGTAATGAAGGTCTTGGTTCTTCATGCTTGAGTGCCATGTGGCCTAATTCTGGAGCTCCCTCTCCTGCAGAATGTGCAGTACTTACAGGTAGCCTAACTTGAACACGTCTACTTTCCTAAATCATGTATTGGAAAATTTTCAAATATCACAATGCAGTCTTTTTACGATAAATTTTGCGATATTTATGAAGTAAAGAAGGAGTTAAAAATGTGCTCAAAACCAAACATATCTATCAACAGAGTCTGTCAAATAACTTGGTGATGTTGCTGTGAAATGACTTTTGCTCAGTATGAACTATGTGAATCCAAAATCCATACAGCTGAAGATGAATGATTGTCTCTCTCCCATTTTTGTGAAATTTCTCACAGATGCACCACATTGTCTATGAAAATTACAAAGCTTGATTTGTTTCCTATGAAATTTTACTAACGATTTCAAAATACCAGAACTGTATTGCAAAACAACGTCGCTTTTAAAAAATCCATGTAGCACGGTGTAATGTCCAGATGGAATGATGGTATGAGAATTTAGAAGCCGCCCCATCCTGATCTCGGCCTAGCTGACTGTCGCAGTCTTTGCAATGTGACCGTTGCATTGGCATAACATGTGATGGCAATATTAATATCACACCTGGCCCGGCCCTATCAATGATACTCGTTAGATGTAGAGTTTAACACTTGGCTGCAGGCCTAGAAGATGTCATGCTGGAGTAGGGTGTAGCGGGCTGGTTTTATCGGTTGACGGCCTGCGTCTTGTAATCAGCCCGGCAGCTTTGGTGCGCTGCTGTGTCTGTGTGCCGTAAAATGCTAATAGTACCTGGAAGGGCTTTGGCAGCACCATCCAGCAGGCGTTTAAGGACGCGGTTGGCGTTTAAGGATGCGGTTGGCGTTTAAGGACGCGTTTGGCCTGCATCTGAATACCAGACCCCTGGCGCCGTCCCAGATCTCTCTGAGTTTGAATAATGATCTGTCGCCCAACTGTGGTGAACAGTGGCAGAGTTCTGTGGGATGACATCACCCGGCATGATGGTTTGAGGGTGTCGGTATGTCTCTCGCTGCTTTGCATGCGGTTTTTTTATGTTCTGTGTGTTCAAACAACAAAACAAAACCTCTTTCTGTTACCGTTACCCCGGGATCGGCACCCGGTCGCCATTCAGCTGCCATTTCTGCTCGGGTCCGACTCATTTCGTCTCGGAATTTTATCCTCCCTGCGATCCTGCCTTTCTCGTTCACGTTCTCATCCTTACCGACCAGGAGGAGAGGCTGGACAACAGCTCCGACGGAGCCCCCGGCCCAGAGGATCAGAATGACTCGGACTCGACTCCCCCCCGGAAGAAGATGAGGAAGACGGAGAACGGGATGTACGCCTGCGATCTGTGTGACAAGCTCTTCCAGAAGAGCAGCTCCTTGCTGAGACACAAGTATGAGCACACAGGTAGGTAGGAGTCACTCTGACGTGTGGTGGCCATTCAGAGCAGCTTCCTGGGGCCTGAAGCCTCCATTCCCTGCAAGGTTGCAGCGCCAGGAAGCTGCAGAGCCGGGGGGCCGGTTGCAAGTGCCTCGCTTTTCAGGTCCTGCGTGCCTGAGAGAGTGACCCCCTCGATTGTGCACTTGCCTCTCGATTGCGTCTCTGCATGGCCCTCTAGTCATCTCACACTCTGCACTCAGATGTTGCACCATCGTGCTGCTGTAGACCTCGGGAATTTTCAACACAGTCTATCCATGTGGGGCCACGCTTGAGGCTGCACTCTCCGCCGGGGTTTCGTTTGCAATTGGTCCGGTTCTCTCTGTGCGTGGAGGAGGTTCTGTCTCCATGATTTACAGACTGCCCAGGCCTCTGCTGCACCCCAGGGAGGGCTTGGCTTCTCACGGCCATTTAATGGCCAGATGACTTCAGCGCTTTTGATTACAGCAGCTTTTCTGGACCTGCTTGGGTTCGGTCGAGCTGCTTTCAGTTTTGACGGCGCAGCCAAGAGTTTGTCCGTTGACTGCAGTGTTTTAGCAGCTCGGTAACGTATTGCCTAATAGGCCAGAGTTATGATTCTGGAAGAGCAGCGTCTGATCGCATCCAGTTCAGGGCAGGATTCTGTCATTATGACGTTAGTTCTTCCAGTGAAGGTCTTCACTGGCAGTGACTGGAGCCGCCTTTACCCACCCTGGAGCATCTCAGGATCTGCCTTCGCCCTCAGAGGCGTCGGGCCGCGGTTTTTGCTTTCGCCGCCGAGTCTCTGGGCCACGTCTTGACTGGGAGCCGCCTGCCATAGTGTTCAGTTACTGAGTGGGCAACAGAGTCCCACCAAGGCGGCCGCTTCTGCAATAAATTATTCACAAATCCCGGAGGCCCCCACGGCTCAGCCCTGCCCTGCAAGCAGACTCTGAAAGCCTCTGAAAGCCAGGCGACCCTATCCCTGGCCTGGAACACTGTTCCGTTCATGTCCAATGTGCTGTGCTTCTGTGCATGGCGAGTCAAGGCGCATTCCCGGTTATTCAGACTCATATTCCGGGTTTCGCAGGGTAACCTGGGAACAAGTCACCAACACAAACTGAACTTGAGAACATTTCTGAGAGTAACTGGAGTGCAGAATTAGTTCAAGGCCACGAGCGGCTCTTGTCAACCCTGGAGCTCATTAATTACAAGTAAATGGAGTTGGGAACGATGCCACCACCGTTCTAGCGGTAATGAGCAGAACATAGCTAGCTCCACTGTTAGATTTCATCCCGAAACGCCGGGCTGTCCCGCTCTCAAGATTCAAGATTCTTCCTTTACCATTTGCACATCAGTACACAGGATTACACAGCACCAAGCCAGACACTCACAAACATTAAAGCAGACATGTGACCAGGTACTCTAGAGATCAGTCATTTTTAAATAAATATAAGGTAAATAGAACATATGGCTGAAATTAAAGATTCCGAAGTTATAAATATAAATATATTCGCAGATCATTCATCCCGACAGCAGTTAGACTCTATAACATAGCATGATGTCATGAGTCACCCAGATACTTACCTCTATGGTCACCACTACTTACCACTTCATACATAACGCACCTTATAGTGAAATAGTTATTTATTATTACTTGCACTTTTTCCCACAACCCACTATCCATATATTTACATACTGTGTATGGGTGTACATAGGCACTACTGCTGTATTTGGTGTTGATCTTATTGTATTTTTTATTATTTATTTTTCTTTTTTTCTTGTATTCTTATTCTGTCTAGAGCTGTGGTAACGCACAAATTTCCCCACTGTGGGATCAATAAAGTCCTATCTAATCTAATCTAATCTAATCAAATATGAAACCAATGACACGAAATTGCATGAGAAATTGAGGATTCCTCTATTTGTAACAGACACACTTATACAAGTACAACATGTAGTGGAATGTACACCAAGTCACTCCGAAGACATAAATATAGAAAAATGCATAAATATAGAAGGTGTAGAAGGTATACCATGTGCATATGTTTAAGTAGTAGTACACCTTACTATACGGTGGGCATTTGTTTATGCATTAAGTAACTTATGCACATGGTCAGGTATAGGCAGTATGGCAAAGTACAGTGCAATGTGCAAAGTGTCACTCAGTCCTGTGTAGTGTGATGTGCATTTATGAGTTTGTATTGTTATTGTTCTGTGTTGAGATGTTGAACTGCAGAGGGGTAGATACTCTTCCTAACACAGTTGCCGGTGGTCCTGGGACTGATGTTTCCTCTCTGCGTTTTTGTCAGGCAAGCGACCTCATGAGTGCGGGGTCTGCAGCAAGGCCTTCAAACACAAACACCACCTGATCGAGCACACGAGGCTGCACTCGGGCGAGAAGCCCTATCAGTGCGACAAGTGCGGCAAGCGCTTCTCGCACTCGGGCTCCTACTCGCAGCACATGAACCACCGCTACTCCTACTGCAAGAAGGAGGCGCGGGAGCGCGAGGGGCACGGGGAGTCCCCAGCCGAAGAGCGACAGACCGACAGCAGGGCCACCTCACCGCCCTCGCAGCTGGACTCGGACGACAGGGAGAGCAGCACACGCGGGGACGAGGACAGCGAGGACGAGGAAGAGGAGGAGGAGGAAGACGAGGAGGAGGAGCACAGCCTCAGTGTGAACGACGACGAGATACAGGTGGTGCGAGTGGGTGAGGGGGAGGAAAGTGAGGAAGAGGAACAGGAGCATGTTGGGGAAGGGGCAGAGGAGGAAGGGGAGGGGCATCTGTTTCAGGGGGCAGTGCTAATCAAGGAAGAGGAGGAAACACAGGAAGTAGGTCAGGCTCAGCAGGAAGTGATGGCAATGGAGACAGAAAAAAGCATGGCGACCGAAGATGATGTCATGGAACAGGTAAAACAGGAAGTTCTGAGCGAGACCATAATGCAGAGCATAGAGGAGGGTAATGGGAACACTGGGAAGGGCTCGGAAACGGGGGCAAAGGACGCAGATGGAAACTGACGAGAACAACATTTTTTCCTAAACTAAAAAAAGAGAAGAAAGGATTTAAACCACATTTTTGAATATAGGATGTGTACAGATCATTGGTTGCCTCTACGCTGTGTTTCAGTTCACTACTGTGTATAACTCCTGGTGTGCCTGAACTTAAAAAAAAAACAAAAACAAAAAAAAAACAACAACAAACTAGTAACTTTTCCATGTGAGACATTTTCAGTGTTAGAACTCGTTTGTAAAAGTACATAAAACTTTAACAGAAATGCATATAGACTCCGAAAGCTGGAGTTGACACGTTTTAGGTGTTTATTACTAAAACGTCCTGAGTTGTTATCAGTGTTACTAACTTTGTCACTTACATTTGACCTTTAAAGCTGTACAGTTGGGAGAGATTTCTATACCTTTTTATTGCCAATGAAGTTTGCTAAATCAGTATTTTATTAAGTTGGAGAGAGGAAAAGAACCTGCACTACAGTATTCCTGGTTTGCCTGTGGACACAGCGTGCTTCAGTGTCAGTCACCTTTCAGTATTACCATTGTGTTAGCCACCGTCAGCGTGTTCCGAACGCGTTTCCATTGGAATGTCAGTCTTAAAAAAGGAACTGTAACACCCTGTGTTTTTGCTCACGTTTTTGACGGATTTCCCATCCGGGATGCAGTGTTATAGCCATGAAGGCAGTTTCTTACTTTCGTTCGTTCGTATGTCTGTGTCTGTCTGTCATTCGTTTTGCAATCTGTGATCCATGTCACTATTTTCGTTTGGATCTGTGATCAAGGTCAAATGAAGCAGGATTAAGAGGTACAACACTGAGGATTTCACATCCCCAGCCTTATGCAAGACACGTGCCACGGGACAGTGTTAATCGCGGTG